TCCTCGTCCTGCTTCTGCCTCCCTGCCTGATCGCGCGCGCCGCCATGGCCCCGCGCCCGAGACCGCCGCGGCGGCCGTCGCGGCGGCCATCGACCGCGACGACGGGAATCTTCTCGACGCGCAGCCCCAGCAGACGCACGAGGGCAGGGCGGCAGGCCCCAAGCGGTTCCACAGCGACGGCGAGCAGTAGATCAGCGCGGCAGGGCAGCGCAGGAGCAGCAGCAAAGCCAGCGGCGCATGCAACGCAACGCAGCAGGAACAACGCGGAGCCAGCGAGCAACCGCACTAGCCAGACAGCACAAGTAGCGTAACACTAGCATGCTGATTCGGGCACCACTTTGCACCCCTCGCAGCCCGCTTGAGCGGGCCGCGCTGGACGGACAAAATAACGCGACCACTGTGCGGAAAACGGCGTTCGGAAGGCGCAGTATTCAAAATTGCTGGGGCCCGTTGGGCATCTTGCATATCCTGTCGCCGACACTTGTTGGATGTGCCTTGCTCGCATTGCGCTGGCTGTCGCCGAGATTCAGGACCGGCGCGCGCGCTCGTCTCGATGCGTTTAATTGGCCGCCGCCGCGGCCGACGTGCCCCGGCGCGCCCCCCCGCGCCCCGACCCCGCAGGCAGGCCGTTCTAAGCCCCCGCGCCCCAGCCGCGAACCCATGGGGGAACGAGCTGGGGGCGACGATGCAGGATAAGGAACCGAACCCGATGGCGAGGGTGACGTTTGCGATGCCAGTGGAGATCGGCGGAGCGAGGGGGACTGCGACTTCCAGGGGGGGGGGGGGGGCGGGGGGCGGGCGGCGGGGGGGGCTCGGGGCCTGCAGGGGCGGCGAGGAACGGGGGCTTAAGGAATCAAGGGAACAGCGCGCGAGGATGAAATGAGCACGCATGAAGCGTTGGGAAAGAGAGATGGCAACGAGGGCGGGCGGCGCGCGAGGGTCGAGAAGGCGATGGGAGATCGCTGGGAGTAGGGTTGGGGGAATGGTTAGAGAAAAGGGTCTAAGCGGATTCGCGAGGAGGCGGGCAAGCGAATGCGCGAGAGGGAAACTGGCGAGTCGCGCCAGGAGGGGCGACGGGGAGGAACATGATAGAACATGGCGGTTGAAAGGGAAGTTTGGGCCGGTTGGGGGCGAGGGTTGAACGCGGGGTTCGGCGGCGATGACGAAGCCGAAGGGGCGGGCTGGGGGGCGAAGGCAAGCGGCGCGGAGCGCGACCGCGGCCGGGCAGCGGGGCCAATCAGGGGGGGTCGGGGGCGTCGAGGATGAGGAAGCGCGGCTAACGACGAGAAGACGAGGGCACGCGGAGGCAGCGCAAGCGGCGTTGACGACGGCGATGACGACCATGATGGCGACGGCCGAACGCACAAAGGTCGCGTTTGCGCAAGCATTGCTAGCGCGCTACATTCGGTGCACCTGCGCAGGCAGACGCGACGCTCCATCAACGCGACCGCATCCGGGATACGGCGCGCGCAGACGCGCGGGAACCCCAAGGAACACCCACAATGCAATTTGCGCGTCGATCTTTGGAATTCCCGAGATAACCGCGCTATGGGGCCACGCCCGAGGCGCAAGCGAATTGGGCCGCCCATGTGGGCGTCGTTTAAACTTTGCCGGCGTCGTCTAAAAAATTGCCCGCGCCGTGTAACTTTCGTGGGTGGGCGAGAAAATCCCCTCGTGCAAAATGATCGCCGCGCAGTATTGGATCGCGCTCGGATGACATCGCTGCGCGAGCTTGGGCGCCGCGCAACGGCGCGACTATGCGTTTGCAGCGGCGTTAGGCGCGAGCGCCACTTGCGCGGCGAACGCATATGATGCAGCTACGCGCGCGCAATCGCATCGTCGCGGCGCGCAGCTGCGCGCGCGGCAATGTCTCGTTAGAACGATGCGAATTTGGATAAAAAACAATGAATTTGCAAGGCGGGGGGGCTCCCTCGAGACCTGCAACATTCTAAACGGCGCGGATGAAGTTTCAACGACGCCCTATTGGCGGCCCAAGTCGCACGCGCCTCGAGCACGGCCCCAGGATGCGCTCATCCCAGGAAGCCCAAGTACGCGCGTCTACCCAAGCTCGCAGCGGGCTTGAGACCTCGCATTCCGTCGGGCACCCAATCGAACTATGCTTCTCCATGCGCTTGGCGAAATCTGGGTGAATGCTGGTCTGGTCGTTCTGGCTGAAATCGGTGTTCCACCCTGGCTGGCAAGCTTGCCCTGGTCTGGGGGCCCCGCGGTTTGAGCCGGTGGCCGCGGCGATCGCCCCCCGGGCAAAATCAGCCACGTTGCCGCCTGACCCCGGGACCTCGACCGGTTTCGCACCCTGGCACCTACGATCTTCAAAAGTGCCTCACCGCGGCTCAGGAAGTTGGCGCTGCGACGATGATCGACCAGCGAGTTGAATGTAATCCTGGCCATCCTGCATCTCTGGCTGGGTCGCGCCGCTTGCTCCTCCGCGTTGAATCCGCGGGCCACGCCGCGGCGACCCCCCCCTCGCCCTCGTCCTCCGCGAGCCTGTGATGCGCCCTGTGGGCCCGTGACTTCTGCTTCTCGACGGAGCGCTGCTCTTCGGCGCGGACCCGCCGCGCGGTGGATTTGTCGCCCCGCGGGGTCCCCGCCCCCACCTGCCGCTCCGCTTCCAATGCCTGAGCGCGTTGGCAGTCTCTGGTCGCTGCCGAAATCAAAATCACCAGAGAGGCTGCCTCGGCGCTGTTGCGAGGCCCCTGCGAGCCGCCGACCACCCCGGCGGCGCCGAGGGGCCTCCGCCCATCCTCGGGCTCGTCCCTGGGCGCGCCCTCGCCCCAATCAAAAAGATCTTCGCCCTTCTGCCCGCCCCCATCCATCTCCGCGTCGCCCTTCTCGCACGGCCCCCCCGCTCGGCTGGGAGACCGCGCGACGATCGGCTGCCGGGGATGGCCGCGCCGCTTGGCTGCGACCTCGCCCTCGTCGGCCGCGAGCCGCTCGGCGGGGGCCGTCGCCGCCGGCACCGCGACTGCGCCCGGGAGGAACACGCGAGAATCAATCCGCGGCGGAGGGGGGGGAGGGGGCGGGGAAGCGGGAGGAGAGGAGAAGGAAGGCGAGGAGGAGGAGCAGGAGGAGGAACGGGCCACGTCCTCGCTGCCGAAACGGTCGGCGAGGTCCTGTTGGCGCGCTGCCGGCTCGGGCTCGTCCTCGGGCTTGTCTTCGGCCTCGTCCTCAGGTGTGTTCTCGAGGGCCGGAACGGCCGCGCGGGCTTCGGCGGTGCGGGCGCCCTACGGGTCAGCCGATTGAGTTTCGGTGGCCTGTCCGCGGGCGCACTGGGACTGGGCGCCGAGGGGCCCGAGGGTTTGGTTGGCAGCCTGGATGCTTTGTCAAGGTCTTTCTCTTCGTCTTGTTCTTTTTCTGGCGGCGCAAAGCTGACCTCGCCCTTTTTTGGGGCCCCTGCCCCAGCAGAGCATGCGTCGAGAACCATGTCCACCCCATGCAGTAACGGGTCGTAGTCGGCAGGGTTAGGCCGCATCTCGCCAAGACGCGCCGCCCCCACCTGACGTTCGACATCGACGTGGAGATTGTCCAATTTGCGTGAGTTCACTCGGTGGATGAACGAGATCAGCGTTTCCAAGCGTCCCCCCGCGTCCAGGTCAATGGCGATCATGAACACGACAGGTAGAATCCCCCTGGACTTGAAGGGGACCTCATTGGCATTGACTGCTAACTTCACGTTGTGCCAGTACTTTCGATGTCATGGGCGAACTCGCCTGGCATATGGTAGTCGGTCGGCTGTTTGTGCCAGAATCTGTGCTGCGCCTGATCATTCGACAGATCGATGATGCGGCCTTCCCTCAGGGGCGTCCCCTTTGGACACGCATATCCATACTAAGCCCGCGTATCAATGTCGACCAAGAATTACTGATCATTGCTCTAATGCCGGTGATCACCTGCGAGTTTGTGCCTACGGTTATGGGTTAGCCGAGGCCACGACGTATGTTGGAATGGCGATCGCTCACCGCGTCCGCGCGCCACCGCACGCAAGGCAAGAACACGAATCTCGTCGCTGTCCTCTGAAAGAAAGTGGGCGCATGTATTTACCTTGAGGGGCATGTCCTCACAGTCTGGCCTCATGATGCGGTAATTCACCTTCCTCGGCTGATTACGCCCATCCTTGGGCCACCTGTTCGGGAGCAACACGGGAGATAATGGGGCAGACAATGTTTGGCTGGAAACCTTCGCCCACGTCATGGCGCGGGAGCGCGTCGGAGCCACGCGTGCGCGAACGCGCGGGGTAGTGCGTTCGCTTGAGGACGATGGCGACGATAAAGTAATCGCGTCGTGGCGAACGAAGATTACGGTGATGATGATGCCTATGATGAAGGCCATGAGGCAAATCCAATGAGAACAGTCAGCATGAGGGTGCCGATGATGACGGTGGTGACGGTGATGGCGGTCACGATGAAAACAATAATGACGGTGACGCTGGTGAGGATGATGATCAAGACAAGGGCGGATATGCGGAACAGAAACAGGCAACAGTCATGACCATGGTCGTGTCTGTGGCCGCGCAACAAACACGACCATTGTCGTCTCTGTGGCACGCGCACTTGGGACAGTCTTAGGACAATTAGCTAGCAATGTACCGTATGCCCGGGGACCCTCCGCCACTCCGCGGACTCCTCCCGGAGCGCGCTCTGACCAGGGCTCTGGGGCGAACCCAGCCGTGGCAACGAGGTGCGCCTCAAAAGGAGGCCCACAGAGGCGAACAACTGGAGGGAGGAGAGAAGGCCCCCCACCCACCACTCGAGGCAAGATGCGGCTGAGAATATGGTGTTTTCCATAAGTTAGCTGTCGGAGTCGTTGTTTGTCTCCGAAGTGACGTGCTGGAGCCGCTGCCGTCACGAAGGGCATCGATCGCGGCATTTCTGCAAGACGGGTGCGTTCCCCCATCCGGGCGCCATGGCGTGCGAGCATGTAGTATGCCACCGCGCAGCCCGCCGCGAGCAGGAGGAATCCGCCCAGCGTGGAGAGGGTCGCGATCAAGGGAGCGTCCGGCGAGCCCTCCTCGTCCCTCCTCCGCTGAGCCTCCCCCGCGGTCTCCTGCGGGACCGGTCGTCATCGAGTCGGGAGGTAGGATCGGCTCAAGCCACCGAGGCTCGAATCCAGAAGTCATCCGACACGTTCTAGAGCCAGGCAGAAGAAGTCATTTAGCTTCGAACGATCCCCACCGAAACCTTCGGCGTTTGATCCCTAAGGTGCGCGTGCTCATTGGAACGGTGTGCGCGCAGCGCGGTGGTCTCAGCCAGTAGTATGCCATGTTATGTTGTACTCTTTTTGTTATGTTATATTAGGTATGCTCCGATATTTCATAGCATGCGTTGCTTTGCTGTGTTGTGTTATGACGTGCTGTGTCATGTTCTGTGATGATGTGACATGCTATGCGTTGGCTTGTTATGGTATGCTTGGTTTGTCATGTTATACAACGATATGTGATGTGATGCTATGCTACGGTACGCACTGCTCTGCCATGATGTTTATGTTACGATATGGTCTGTCATGATATGCTATGTTATGCTTGGATATGTTCTGTTCGGTGGTGTGGTGTTATGCTCTGTTCTGTGGGGGGCCTGGGGATCTGGCGGCCGCGGTATGCAGAGTGGGCGAGTCGGCGCGAGGGGCGTGACTACCAGGGATCATCGGGAGACTGGGAATCTGGCGGCCGCTGTATGCAAGACGGGGGGGGGCGGACTACCAGGGATTATCAGGACCCTGGGGATCTAGCGGCCGCGGTATGCAGAGCGGGGGGAGGACGGGACCATTAGGGATTATCGGGAGCCTGGGGATCTGGCGGCCACGGCATGCAGGGCGAATGGGCCCAGAGGTCTGTTCATAGAATCTAACGGCCCCAACCTGTCGGGCGGGGAAAAACTGCGAAGTCACAGCAGGAGTTCTTTGGTTTCACCGTGCGTCAGGCCGGGCCACATCGGCCCCGGGCTGGAGACCGGATCGGATCGGCCGCGCCAGGGTGCACACAACGCCCGCGCGGGCATCGGGCCGCATCAGGATCGCCGGAGCCTCGGCAGCGGACCGGACCGGGGAAGGCGAAGCCTATTATCGAATCGGATTGGTCGTATCGGAATGAGCCCTCCCTGCGGACGCTGTTGTTTTCTCTCGCGCGAGCGCGGGGGAGGCTTGCCCAGGTGCCGATCGCACGGGGCTGCTGCGGCCGTGGCGCTGCCATATGGCGCGCTGGCCCTCGTCTCGGGAAGGCGCCAGAGAGGATGCACACCCTGTGCTCCTCAGTCCCCTCCTCCTCCCTCCCTCCCTCATCCACCTCCTCGCCCTCTTCCTCTCCATCTCCTCGCTCCCTCATCGTCCTCCTCCTTTTTCTCCTCTTCCTCCTCCTTCTCCTCCTCCTTACTCTTCCCACCCTTCCTCCTCGTCCTCCTCCTACGCCCTGGCCATCGAAAGCCCCTGCAAGACTCTCGGCATCCCTGCCCAGGCGGCAAGCATCGCACGGATTGTCGGATATCGGTATGGTCCGAAAGCCCGTCGCACCAGCGAAACGGGCCACCCTGACCCCAAGGCCAGCTGCGCAACGCTCGAAGGTGTTACCAGCCTCACTAGACCACCTCCGTGAGAGACCCCACGAAACCTCCACAAACCCACTGCCGCACGCCGGAGTTCTCGGCTGGCCCAGACTTCCGCTGCAGACTCTTGCAACCTTCAGTGGGCCCCTGGTTCGAGGCGGGGATTTATCCATGACCAGCGTCTGGGAGATCATCTTCATGGGCGTCGGCAGGCGGTGGATATTTATACGAAGCACCCCGCAGTTGCGCAAAAGGGTACGGGCGCGGGGTGGGTCGCGGGGGAACGACGGCAACAACAGTCACTGCACTCGCATGCGCCACACTTCCACATTCCATATGCATCCATCAGATCCCATCATGATGCCACCCTCTCTTGGGGGAGCTGTACGAAAAGGGACAATATTCCCACACCCGGATCTCCCGCCCAAGGAGGTGGAGCCAACACCCCTCCCGAGGCATTGTTCCATTTCCAGCTCGCGCGACACATTAAAAGCAGTGCGACTTTGGTGAGTGGGGACTCGAACCACACAAGATTCGAGCCCCAATGGAAGAGCAATATGTCGGAGAACACGTCAAACACAAAAAGGATTCGAGCCCCAAGAGAGAGGGCAATCTGTAGGAACATACGCAAAACACTACGGAGTCGAGCCCCAGTCGAGGGGCAGTCGATAGGACAGACTTGCAACACGAAAGGGCCGAACCCCCGAGAATAACGGCGAAACCTGTGGCGGCGAAGCCTAAGGGGGGGCCGAAAAACACGTCCGGAAACATATACTTATACAGGAAAATGCATCCTAAGGCCTCTTGGGGCTTCCTGGGGCCCCCTGAAGGCGGGGGAGCCGAAACAAATCCTCGAACACATATCCCAATACAGAAAAATGTCGGGCATAGATCCCAATGCAGAAAAATGCCTTCTGGGGCCTCCTGGGACCTCGTTTGGGGGGGGGGGGGGGGCGAACAATTATCACCGAACACATATCCCAAAACAGAAAAGAGCGTCCTGGGGCCTCGTGGAAGCGGACAAACCGAAAACCGTTTCCCGTACACATATACCAATACAGATAAGTGCCTCCTGGGGCCCCTGGGGGGTGGGAGGGGGGCAGAAAAACACTCTTCCCCGAACACATATCCCCGGAGTCTCCTGGGGCTTCCGCAAATAGCGGCAAGACTGCTCTGACGGATTCGCCTGTGCCATTGGGTTGCACAAAAACATCCAAACAAAACGGTTTCTCCGGCATCCGCAAGTAGCAATAAAAATGCTCGGACAAACCCCCTAATTGTGCTGGACTGCAAAAAATCTCAAACGAAAAACCAATTCCAACATCCGCGAACAGCAGCAATCTGGTTTTCAAGGACCCCCGCTCCGGTACTAAACTACGAAGAATTCTAAGGCGAAGCGGCCATTCTGACATCCGCGAAACGGCCGCTCTGCCGGGTGAGCTCACCAGCAGGGGTCCGACCCTCCCCGGCAGGCGCCAAGACGACTCTGCACGGCCACACGGCGGCCAATAACGCCCTCAGAGGGGTCTCCAGATACCTCAACTGCCACCAATGTGCGACGTTTTAAAAACTGCATGTGTTCTGGCATATTGCATAGCCCCGCCTGGGACATCGAGCCCGATCATGTCCAAGGCCGTCGCATACCTTGCCGAGTGCAACGTCTGAGTCTTCGTGAACAGGTCCACTTTCACGGCCGGTGTCGGACAATGTTCCAAAGCGATTCGCAGTTCGGGGTCGCGCCCATCCCGTGAACTACCCCGAGACATACCCGTTGGGTACGCGGTGCATGGCCCAGCTTCTTCCCGTAACTTGTCGATGCACGCCGCATCGTTTGTAGGTGATCGGCGCGGCGCTGCATGTTAACATGCTGACCTCATGCACTCTCAAGTTGCATCTGCAATGACATCGCCTCATGGGCAAATAGTGACTGAAGGCAACGTTTCAAATTCGGTGGCGGCCGAGCTTGTCGACGTCTAAGACTACGTCGACGCCCCCCAGCACATGGGAAACGCGCCCCCTCTCTCCGGAGAGAATAGCTCGACCAGCCAGCCCGAAACAGATCCGGCGGTCTCAGACTTCCCATGCAGGTCTGCGCAGGGATAGCAGACAAGTAACAACGCTGCCAAATCACATGGCAACGACGCCCCGCGCAGCACAGCCTTCGCCGTGCAGGCGACGCGCAGCATAAGCCAAATAAAGGTCTTGTCGTGCACGGAGGTCCTAGCGGATACCGCGCTGCAGCGCCACTGGGCGGCCGGAGCTACGTCCGGCCTGCCGGCGAGGTTCGGCGCGAACTTCCCCGCCCGCGCATTGTCGTCGCCCCAGGCCTCGTTTGACAGGTCTGGCGCGTCGACCGCCCCGTTCAAGGCCGCGCTGGCGTCGGCCGCGAACCTGCCGCGCACTCTCGCAATGCATCCCGACATAGAGATCTGCGCGCGGCGCGCTGCCAGCGGCCCCTCCCCTCAGAACGCGTCGAGCAAGGGGCGGGCCCGCGCGAGTCGAAAGATGTCCGCCAGGTCGCCCTCGAAGTCAATGGTCTGAAGAGGCCCCTCCAGTGCGCGGCGGCCCCCCCCGATCGCCGCTGCCTGGAGCGCGTCGTCGACGCGCGCGTTGAGAACGCCACCGCCCGGGTGAACGATGACCCCAGGCCATGATGTCACGGGCTTCCATCGCAAAGCCTGTAAGATGTCCTCGAACGAGCACTCCCACACTGCGCGTGCTTCGGGGCGCCCGTAAAAAGCTCGACGTGGCAGACGTGGCGGACGAGCGAGCCTGGGGCGGGGCCGACGCCCGCTGTGGAACCAGATCGACGGCCACCACTCCCTTGGAATCTCGACCCACGCGGCATCTCGGCTTGGCCCGCTGATCGATGCCCACGCGCGCTTGCAAGGCGTCGCGCACAGACGCCCGGAGTTCACGCAGCAAGGCAATCGCAAGGGCGCAGCGCACAGCGAAGCTCACCGGGCTGCTCGCGACCTCCGCGCACAGGTCGACGGCGCCGACGCCCGTCTCCTCCCTCGCCTGGCCGCCCTGGAAGGCCGCTAAAGACTCGATCGTGGCGCCGTCGCCCTCGGCTCTCGCCCCGCCCGCAATGCCGACGACGCGGCCGTGCAAAACCTTAGGAATCGTTGAGTCTCTCATGGGCCCTTGCACTCTCCTGGACCTCTGTCTCAGACCAGGTCAGCCGGTTCCGGAGGCCAGCCAGCCTTCCTCGATGGCCTCCAAAGCGGCCTCGGATCGAGCCTCGGCGGATTTCGCATTATTGATATTCCGAATAATCAAGCACGCCCACGCAGGTGGCTTTGCGCCAATCTCGTCCTCGCGGTGGTCTGGGATGGGCACGACCTTGACGATGCCCCAAGGAACCTTCGCCAGCTCCAGCGTGTATTTGGCGCTCTCCTTGGCGAGTTGGCCCCTGCGCTCGACGAAGCGGCCCTCGGGGAAATCCGAAATGTCACGGCCCAGCTCCAGTCGCTGAAAGTACCCCGCGTGGTTCGAAGCGATCCCCCG